GTTTTCTGGTCACATGTGTGGTAATGTTCGGTCCCCCGTGTTGGGAAAGTGTCCCTTTTACATGTTGGAAAAATGGGCTGGTCACATGTTGGTAATTGTCTGGGCAATGTATGGTAATTTTTCCCGGCACATTTGTGGGAAAGTGTTGGGCCCCATTTGTGGTAATGTGTCGGTCACATTTTGGGTTTAAGTTTCCCGGTCACATGTGCGGTAATGTGGGCCCGGTCACATGTGGGTAATGTTCTGGTCACATGTGTGGTAAAGTGTCTGGTCCCCATGTGCGGTAATGTGTCTGGGCACATTTGTGGTAATGTGCCCCGGGCACAAATGTGGTAAAGTGTCTGGTCACATGGTGGGAAAGTGTCGGTCACATGTGTGGAAATGGTCTGGCACATTTTTGGTAAATTTTTCTGGGCCCCAGTGCGGTAAAAAGTGTCTGGGGCACATGTGTTTGGGGAAATTTTCCCCGGTCACATGTGTGGAAAAAGGGCTTTGGGCACATGTGGGGGTAATTTGGGCCCGGTTTACATGTTGGGTAATGTTTTCAGGTCCCATTTGTGGTAATGCGTCCCCGGCACAGTTTGGGTAATGTGTCCCGGTCCCCATTGTGGTAAAAGTTTGGTCCAAAATGTGGGGTAATGGGGTCCGGTCCCCATGTGTGGGAATGGTCTTTGGGCACATGTGGGGGTAATTTTCCCGGTCACATGTGGGTAATGTTTTCTGGTCACATGGTTGGGGAATGTGTCTGGGCCCCATGTGTTGGGAATGCCGCTGGTCACATGGGTTGGGAAAGTGTTTTATCACATGTGTGGTAATGTTCTGGTTTACATGTGTGGTAATGTGTCCCGGTCACATGTGTTTGGGAATGTGTCTGGGCACAAGGTGGGAAAATTTAAACACAAAACAGTAAATGGGTTGTTCCCCATGGGGTGGTAATGTGGGCCATAAAAAGTAGGTGTTTGGGCACATGTGTGGGAATGTATCACATAACCCGTACTGGTTTTGGGCACCTTGGGGGTAAAGTGTCACAAAAACATTACTTGGGGTTTGGGCAAAAAGTGTGGTAAAGTGTCAAAATAAAAAGTCGGGTTGGGTCCCATGTGTGGGAATGTCACATAACAGTACTGGTGTTGGTCAATTGTGGTAAAAGGGTCACAAAACATTTCCGGAGTTTTGGCCCCATAACAGGAAATTTCAAAAAATTTAGTATTTAGTCAGGTTGGGGGCCATTATAAAAATGTTTATTATAATGCCGGTGAAAACCCCTTTTATAAATTTTTAAAAGACAAAAAATCGCAGTGTTAAAAGGTTTTCTGATGCTGTTGTTTCCGCTTTATTGGGAGTGGTTTTTTGCAGGTTTTCTGGGGATGGAAAAGTTGTTGTGTCAGTATTGTGTAGTAAAAAACAGGGATTTTCCCCTTTCCCCTACTGTGTTCTGGGGGGCCCCGTAGTTTTTAAATTTTGCACCCCTATATAATTCCCCCAATTTAAAATTTTGAAAGACATGATACGTGGTTTTAAATTCCCCAAAAAATTGGGGGAAAGCTGGGGGCCCCTCAGTGAGTCATTTTTTAAAATAAGGCTCATAGGCCCAAAAGGGGGCGGCAGAGACTCATTCTTCAATAAACCCATAACAGGCCAAGTATATTGTGACTTTGCTACCTAATATCACTCATCTGAGTCTATCTCAACAAATGGTTTGCACAACAGGCATAATTGACTTTGATTATTGCGAGTTAAAGTGAAGAGTTTGTTGAGGGACGCCACCCAGCTCAGCTTACTCTTCTCTCACCACACCTGCCTCTCATCTACCATTCTGCAAACATCTCCCTGGATCCTTGCACTGCTGCAACTGGCTTTGCATGTCAGTTTTCGATAGCTAGACCCTGGACTTTCATGCAGTTAAGCCAAGCCAGATTTTGCCAATGTGCCCAAGCAAGTTCCATCTTGCTAGTATATATGTCTTGCCCACCAGAACGTCTATGCATGAGTTTTGAAAGTGTTCCAGCCTTCAAGATGCTTTTCTGCATCGACAAAGCTAAGTCATTAAAGCAGCCTGCTGTCCACACCAGCAGAAGAGTAACTCACCCAAGCCAGCATATCTAAGTACCTCTGTGACTGTGATCCACAAGTGTGTCTGTACTTCTTAGTATTACCAGTCAAATGATGGTCGAAGAAAAATTTCATCCAAGTGTCTTAGTTAATTTAATATTTTTATTATGCCCCCAAGACCCATCCTGTGAGCGGTAGTCAAAAAGAGTACATAAGTACCTAATGGATGCAGGAACTGTACCTCAACATTACAGGGGTACCTAATGGGTCCAGGGACTGGGCCGCAAAGTTTTGATAGCTGATCAAGTCAGCTATCATACCTGATCATAATTACAGTGACTTATTAATGCACATATTAGTTTTATTGACAGTGAGTAAAGTCAGGTATTTTTCCAGAATGGTTTTTAATATATCACTGCGGATAAAATACTTGGACATTTCTTGAACATTTCTGAGTGAGTTGTCTCTAAAATTCATTGATTTGATCGCATTCCAGTACATAATGATGGAAGGTGTGACAATTGTCCATCTGGCAAGGCTGACATTTCGTTTGGTCTACATCTGGTGGTGGTGATTTAACCTGCCAAAGATACAACCCAGCCGGAGCCGGGCGGTAGTGACATCCAAGAGTCGGCTTATTTTGTTAATGCACCCTAGACATGTGTCTCCACCTGCATGACAGAATGATAATAGAGAGACTGACTTGTGTGGGCTATTGTGAGTTGATAAGCCAGATAGATTACTGTGGTTAGTGTACGAGAGGGAGGCTGCATCGCTTACTCCCATCACTCACCCACCGTACCTAGACCAGCGAGTCACACCCTGACAGTTTTCTGACCCAGTACCTTCTGCCTCTAACAACCTGACTGACATACGTCCCGATTGTTGTTACTTCCTGCGTATACGACAAGTGATGAGAACACCTCGGGTTTCTGCAGTTACCACTACCATAAATTACCCCCAGTCACGACAAGTACATATGTAAACCTCACCCTACCAGAGTTGAGGTTCAATGTGAATGCTTTGTATAAATTATTAATTATGTCAAACAATTACTTAACTGTGTATCATATTTCCTGTGCTTCGATTTATACTGTGGATAATATAATTTTTGTACACAGATAATCAACGCTGTCAGTGAATTCTTAGATTTAATAGTAATAATGTTAGTTCACCGAGTTTGTCTTGTCTGTTCAATACGTTCTTCTTTCTATATAATTTTCCTCAGAATCCGTAGATTGTGAGACCTTTACCTCACTCTGCCTGAGGTATCCCAGCAAGTGAGCACGTCTCCTGTGTTCTCCCAGTGCTTAACAGAATAGGGAATAGGGAATGGGAACTATGGCTATAGTTTACTTAATAACATAAAAGGGCTAGAATAAAACATATCCTGATGGAAATTTACATAATATAACAATTGAACTATGAGACTTATTATCAGGGGGAAGGGTAGATGTTATCAGTAACACGGACTGGTACTCACTCTTAATTCACTGACCGGCTGACCCGAGATTCATATGCGTGGTCCACTGCACACGCGGCTGTCCGGACCTGTCACCAACCTCTCTCTCTTGCTCAGCTGTTCCCTTACTTATATGGTCGTCAAAGCACCCCCCCTTCCACATAAGGCATAGACCACGTGTTGCGACCTGATGCTGGTATCTGACACTGTCACAAACAAAAGACATGAGACTTAAGCCGAAAAGCATATCTGACAGCTATTTGCCAAGGCAAGGTGTGACCATTTAATTGGTTAAATTAGGTCTCCCTCAGAGACATCACAAGCAATGTGGACTACATCACATGATCACATGAATAGTGATCTATCGATCTCATTTACCTCTTGTGATCCACAACAGTAGTTATGTTATGTGTTCCTGTTGTGCAACATTCCATTGCATTGTATAGAATCACTGCGTGTAGTTCATAACATCTGCTGTTCAGTTTCTGTTGTATTAGTTATCCATCTATATGTCAGGGATGCTGTACCATAGCATGTTCCAAGCTGTCAGTAGTATGATAGTATGTATACTATGTATTCCAATAACCGTTAGACAGTATGATCATGTGAACATATGTCCAAACATTGTAGGAGATGTGGTGGTCGCATCTCAGTGAGTCAGTTTAATATGGACAGCTGGGTGGGTAGGACTATGGTGGCAGGCAGAGACCCAGTCTTCAATAAACCCATAAGTACTGTAAGTATATTGTGCCCTGCTACCCAATATCACTCATCCTAATCCATCTCAACAGTTGTCGTTGTTGCAGGTTTGCCTGGTGATGGTAATGCTGCAAGTTAGCCTGGTGATGGTAATAATGTTGTTGCAGGCTAGCCTGGTGATGGTAATAATGTTGTTGCAGGCTAGCCTGGTGATGGTAATAATGTTGTTGCAGGCTAGCCTGGTGATGGTAATGTTGTTGTTGCAGGCTAGCCTGGTGATGGTAATAATGTTGTTGCAGGCTAGCCTGGTGATGGTAATGTTGTTGCAGGCTAGCCTGGTGATGGTAATAATGTTGTTGCAGGCTAGCCTGGTGATGGTAATAATGTTGTTGCAGGCTAGCATGGTGATGGTAATGTTGTTGCAGGCTAGCCTGGTGATGGTAATAATGTTGTTGCAGGCTAGCCTGGTGATGGTAATAATGTTGTTGCAGGCTAGCCTGGTGATGGTAATAATGTTGTTGCAGGCTAGCCTGGTGATGGTAATAATGTTGCAGGCTAGCATGGTGATGGTAATGTTGTTGCAGGCTAGCCTGGTGATGGTAATAATGTTGTTGCAGGCTAGCCTGGTGATGGTAATAATGTTGTTGCAGGCTAGCCTGGTGATGGTAATGTTGTTGTTGCAGGCTAGCCTGGTGATGGTAATAATGTTGTTGCAGGCTAGCCTGGTGATGGTAATAATGTTGTTGCAGGCTAGCCTGGTGATGATAATGTTGTTGTTGCAGGCTAGCCTGGTGATGGTAAGGGAGGGTACAGCAGGGGCTTGCCCACTGCTGGTGCTGCTGCTGCTCGTCATCAATGCTTCTTGTGTCATCAACTTCACTTCTGCCTTGCAAGATGATCTTCATCAATGCCACGACTCCACCCACCACCCACACCCCACACCGTGAGTATTGTCACCACCCATATCATGTGGGAGTTCGACACGTGGATTAGGTAAAGAAATACTCACGTAGGCTGGTAGTACGTATAATTACAGACAAGGTGAGTAGCGCCCTTACAGCCGTATCCTAGTCTCTCTGCTCTCTCTCGTACAACTGACTGACTGGCCGCCCACAGTACCCATATGTGAGAGGGTCTTTGAATACTGCCAGGTCAGCACATGAGTTCAGACAGTGACTCAGGCAGAGACGGTTGGTCGTGAGTCAACTGGCACAGTGGTTACTGGTAACTGGTTACTACTACTGAGAGCTCGGCGACGCTAACGTATGTCGTCCCGACATACAACTAATACAAACTAGAGATGGCAGGTATACGGCTTGGGCTGATTCTATACAATGTCAAAGTACACAACAATTAAACATTATAACATACATAAGTAGAACATTGGAATGGAAGCTTACGTAACTGAAACTGTAATGCAATACAAGGTATAATATAGCACAACTTAAAACTCAACAAATGAACATCGAACTCAACGTTGAGATTACAAGTGATAAAAAAAAAATTTTGATCGATCGATCTGTATTCATGTGATCTACGGATTCTGAGGGAGGAATATATACAAAGAAAGAGTGTTTAACAGAAAGGCAGATTCGGTGCACTCAAATCTAGACTGTTAACTCTCAGAATGCGGAGAGAACATGAACACAAAAAAAAAAATTCTTGAATACTGATAAGTTGATACTGTAATTATTCATCTAAACAGGTTATTTACATTTAACCCCAACTCTGCTAGGGTAAGATTGACATATGCAGAATGGGTGTCATCTCTGGGAGGATCAAACTCTGTAGCATTGGCTAACTCATGCTGTATTTGAGGCAAATCTGAATTGGAAGTTACAAATGATACTTGAGGATTTCTCAATACCTGTCGTGTACGTAGGGAATAACGACATTCAGGTTGATCGTCTGACTGAGTATCAGAGGAAGAGAGTACAGGATCAGGAGGATTGTCAGAGTCTGTCACATTAGTCTGGGTTGGAACATCATTATCATCACATACTAACTTCATATGATCTAAATGCAATTCTTTATACTGACAAGTACTAATCTCTCTAACCTTATACTTATTACCAGTGATATGTTCAACTACTCGATAAGGACCAACAAACTTTTGATCAAGCTTTGGCATTGCAGACGTTTTGTTAAAGTTAATCAGCATAACTCTCGAACCTACTTTGATTTTGGATGGCTTTGCTCGAGTGTTTGCGACTCTTGTAAATTCTGCTGTTGATTTATGAAGTGTTTCACGGATTCTTCTAAAAACACTTTGAGCTAAGCTGGTACGAGTTGCTATGAAATCATCAGGGTTGTAATTTTAACGTCTTGAATTACCCTTAAAACTTATCCACGCTCCACACCGCTGTCACCATTTATCATGTGGGAGTTCGACACGTGGATTAGGTAAAGAAATACTCACGTAGGCTGGTAGTACGTATAATTACAGACAAGGTGAGTAGCGCCCTTACAGCCGTAGCCTAGTCTCTCTGCTCTCTCTCGTACAACTGACTGACTGGCCGCCCACAGTACCCATATGTGAGAGGGTCTTTGAATACTGCCAGGTCAGCACATGAGTTCAGACAGTGACTCAGGCAGAGACGGTTGGTCGTGAGTCAACTGGCACAGTGGTTACTGGTAACTGGTTACTACTACTGAGACCCACACCCCACACTGAGTATTGTCACCACCCACACCCCATACAGTGAGTATTGTCACCACTCACACCCCACACCGTGAGTATTGTCACCACCCACACCCCACACTGAGTATTGTCACCACCCACACCCCACACTGAGTATTGTCACCACTCACACCCCACACCGTGAGTATTGTCACCACCCACACCCCACACTGAGTATTGTCACCACCCACACCCCACACCGTGAATATTGTCACCACCCACACCCCACACCGTGAGTGTTGTCACCACCCACACCCCACACCGTGAATATTGTCACCACCCACACCCCACACCGTGAGTATTGTCACCACCCACACCCCACACCGTGAGTATTGTCACCACCCACACCCCACATTCTTGCGACTGACACTCCCTCAACTTATACTACGAACGCAAAAGGTCATGAGGTCATGTTCAATCTGACTGTGACTCCCGGCTTAGGTCCCAAGATCAATTAAATGACTCTATGATAATCCCAGCTGCTGTATTTAATTAAGAGTTGAAGCAGAATTAAAACACAGGTCGAGCACTGAAGACCAGACTTGGCACTCCTGGCAAGACGCAGTTGGCACCCTGCATGGTGTCAGCTTTGGCACTCCTGGCAAGACGCAGTTGGCACCCTGCATGGTGCCAGCTTTGGCACTCCTGGCAAGACGAAGTATGCACCCTCACATGGTCAGGTTTGGCACTCCTGGCAAGACACAGTTGGCACCCTGCATGGTGTCAGGTTTGGCACTCCTGGCAAGACACAGTTGGCACCCTGCATGGTGTCAGGTTTGGCACTCCTGGCAAGACACAGTTGACACCCTGCATGGTGTCAGGTTTGACACTCCTGGCAAGACGCAGTTGGCACCCTGCATGGTGCCAGGTTTGGTACTCCTGGCAAGACACAGTTGGCACCCTGCATGTGTCCAGGTTTGGCACTCCTGGCAAGACGCAGTTGGCACCCTGCATGGTGCCAGGTTTGGTACTCCTGGCAAGACGCAGTTGGCACCCTGCATGGTGCCAGGTTTGGTACTCCTGGCAAGACACAGTTGGCACCCTGCATGGTGTCAGGTTTGGCACTCCTGGCAAGACGCAGTTGGCACCCTGCATGGTGTCAGGTTTGGCACTCCTGGCAAGACGCAGTTGGCACCCTGCATGGTGTCAGGTTTGGCACTCCTGGCAAGACACAGTTGGCACCCTGCATGGTGTCAGGTTTGGTCAGGACTGCCCCCCCCCACCATCAAACTAGCTATGCCCCGGGGCCACAACTCTACCTAGATGACTCATGAATGAGAAAATATGCAGAATAACATTTGTTATGCAGATGTTATTCTGCATAACAAATTTATCAAAAAAGTTGTTATATATAACTTCGCGAGAACAATATTTTGAGAAATAAGAATTATAATTTGTAAAGATGATTTATTTTCCACAATTATTCTTACTAATTTTGTGGTGTTGTTGACAGGTGGTCTGGTGTGCCGCTAGGTGAGAAGGATTCAGATGACAGCACTAACAGCCAGGTTGACACTGGCCTTCACGCTGAGGACAGTAGTGACAGCCAGGCTGACACTCAGCTACACCCCCAGGACAGTGCTGAGCAAGAACTTCGTCAGCTGAGAACGCCACACGTCCTACACGGAAACAACTTTGAGTCGATCAAAGAAGAGAGAACTAACAAAGTTCTTGAAGCAGCACCTCAGGTCGACTCACGACGTGATGTTCGACGTCTTGGCCATCGACTCTTTAGGGATAGACAATACGGAGGTCGATACACAGAAAGCAGCAGAAACGTCGATACTCGCTATAGCGGACATCGAAGCATTTTCAACCAACGAGATGAAAACAGCCGACTGGACGCCCGACTAACACAGGGTCGTAGACTAGATGCCCGACTAACACAGGGTCGTAGACTAGATGCCCGACTAACACAGGGTCGTAGACTAGATGCCCGACTAACACAGGGTCGTAGACTAGATGCCCGACTAACACAGGGTCGCAGATTAGATGCCCGACTAACACAGGGTCGTAGACTGAATGCGAGACTAACAGGTCATAGACTGGAGACAACAGTAGCTGAACGACGACTCTTTACTCGGGAAACCGACAAACAAAGGCTTAACGTCAGACAAAGACAGACAATCTTGAGCAAAAGAAGCACTGATGTTAATGGTCACCTTGACACAAGGAAGACACCTGATGACAGACGTATTGAAATAAATAGGAACCCTGATGGTCGTCTTGAAACCAGGAGGAGCTCTGATGGTCGTCTTGACACCAGGAGGAACTCTGACGGTCGTCTTGACACCAGGAGGAACTCTGATGGCCATCTTGACACCAGGAGCACCTCTGATGGTCGTGTCGACACCAGGAGGAACTCCGATGGTCGTCTTGACACCAGGAGGAACTCTGATGGTCGTGTAGACACCAGGAGGAACTCTGATGGTCGTCTTGACATCAGGAGGAACTCTGATGGTCGTCTTGACACCAGGAGGAACTCTGATGGTCGTCTTGACATCAGGAGAAACTCTGATGATCGTCTTGGCACCGGAAGGAACTTGGATGGTCGTCTTATCACCAGAAGGAACATTGATGGTCGTCTTGACACAAGGAGGAACTCTGATGGCCATCTTGACACCAGGAGCACCTCTGATGGTCGTCTTGACACCAGGAGGAACTCTAATGGTCGTCTTGACACCAGGAGGAACTCTGATGGTCGTCTTGACATCAGGAGGAACTCTGATGGTCGTGTAGACACCAGGAGGAACTCTGATGGTCGTCTTGACACCAGGAGGAACTCTGATGGTCGTCTTGACATCAGGAGAAACTCTGATGATCGTCTTGGCACCGGAAGGAACTTGGATGGTCGTCTTATCACCAGAAGGAACATTGATGGTCGTCTTGACACAAGGAGGAACTCTGATGGTCATCTTGACACCAGAAGGATCTCTGATGGTCGTCTTGACACCAGAAGGAACTTTGATGGTCGTCTTGACACCAGAAGGAATTCTGATGGTCGTCTTGACACAAGGAGGAACTCTGATGGTCGTCTAGACACCAGAAGGAACTCTAATGGTCGTCTTGACAAGAGGAGAAACACTGATGGTCGTCTTGATACGAGGAGGAACTCTGATGGTCGTGCTGACCCCATGAACAACTCTGATGGTCGTCTTGACACAAGGAGGAATTCTGATGGTCGTCTAGATACCAGGAGGAACTCTGATAGTCGTCTTGACACAAGGAGGAAGTCTGAGGGTCGTCTTGACACCAGAAAGAATTCTGATGGTCGTCTTGACACCAGAAGGAAATCTAATGGTCGTCTTGACAAGAGGAGAAACACTGATGGTCGTCTTGATACGAGGAGGAACTCTGATGGTCGTGTTGACTCCATGAACAACTCTGATGGTCGTCTTGACACCAGGAAAAACTCTGATGGTCGTCTTGACACAAGGAGGAACTCTGATGGTCGTGTTGACTCCATGAGGAATTCTGATAGTCGTCTTGACACAAGGAGGAACTCTGATGGTCGTGTTGACTCCATGAGGAATTCTGATGGTCGTCTTGACACAAGGAGGAACTCTGATGGTCGTGTAGATACCAGGAAAAACTCTGATGGTCGTCTTGACAACAGGAGGAACTCTGATACTCGTCTTGACACAAGGAGGAACTCTGGTGGTCGTCTTGACACCAGGAAAATCTCTGATGGTCGTCTTGCCAACAGGAGAAACTCTGATACTCGTCTTGACACAAGGAGGAATTCTGATGGTCGTCTTGACACCAGAAAAAACTTTGATGGTCGTCTTGACAACAGGAGAAACTCTGATACTCGTCTTGACACAAGGAGGAACTCTGGTGGTCGTCTTGACACAGAAAATCTCTGATGGTCGTCTTGACACCATGAGGAACTCTGATAGTCGTTTTGACACAAAGAGGAACTCTGATGGCCCTCTTCACACCAGGAGGAACTCTGATGGTCGTCTTGACACAGGAAGGAACTCCGATGGTCGTCTTTACACCAGGAGGAGCTCTGATGGTCGTCTTGTCACAAAGAGTAACTCAGATGGTCGCCTCGGCACAAGGAGGAACTCTGATGGTCGTCTTCATACTATGAGGAACTCTGATGGTCGTCTTGACACAAGGAGAGTCACTGAAGGAAGTCGTCTTGATACAAGAAAAGTCACTGAAGGTAGTCGTCTTGACACAAGGAGGGTCGCTGGAGACAGTCGTCTTGACACAAGGAGAGTCGCTGGAGACAGTCGTCTTGACACAAGGAGAGTCGCTGGAGACAGTCGTCTTGACACAAGGAGAGTCAGTGAAGGTAGTCGTCTTGACACAAGGAGAGTCGCTATAGAGAGTCGTCTTGACACAAAGAGAGTCTCTGTAGACAGTCGTCTTGACACAAAGAGAGTCTCTGTACACAGTCGTCTTCACACTAGCAAGAACTACGAGCGTCGTCTTGACACCAAGAGGAACTCTGATGGTCGTCTTGACACAAGAGGGAACTCTGGTGGTCGTCTTGACAAAAGGAGGGACTCTGATGGTCTTCTTGACACAAGGAGGAGCTCTGATGGTCGTCTTGACACAAAGAGGAACTCTGATGGTCGTCTTGACACAAGAAGGAACTCTGATGGTCGTCTTGACACAAGAAGGAACTCTGATGGTCGTCTTGACACAAGAAGGTACTCTGATGGTCGTCTTGACACAAGAAGGAACTCTGATGGTCGTCTTGACACAAGAAGGTACTCTGATGGTCGTCTTGACACAAGAAGGAGCTCTGATGGTCGTCTTGACACAAGAAGGTACTCTGATGGTCGTCTTGACACAAGAAGGAACTCTGATGGTCGTCTTGACACAAGAAGGTATTCTGATGGTCGTCTTGACACAAGAAGGTACTCTGATGGTCGTCTTGACACAAAAAGGTACTCTGATGGTCGTCTTGACACAAGAAGGAACTCTGATGGTCGTCTTGACACAAGAAGGTACTCTGATGGTCTTCTTGACACAAGGAGGAGCTCTGATGGTCGTCTTCACACAAGAAGGAACTCTGATGGTCGTCTTGACACAAAAATTAGCCACGAGGGTCGTCTTGACAGGAGAGTCACTGACGTAAGACATTTAGACGCCAACTGGAACTCAGTAGTACAAAGTACATACAAGAAACTTGCTGATCTTAGAGAATCCATATATGTTGCATTGAACTTCCCATATAAAACATATGACTCTGGATGTTCTCTGGACGATATATACCTTGAAAAGTTACATGTAAGTACACTTGTTATGTTGAGTACTTCACTAGGTTAAAAGGTTTAGATTTTAATATTTATAATGTTGTTGGTATGTGAAAAATTTGACTGACTTGTTAAGACGTATAATGTAATTATTTTGACTTGTTAAGACGTATGTTGTAATTATTTTGACTTGTTAAGACATATACTGTAATTATTTAGATTTATTAAGACGTTTAATGTAAATATTTTCACTTGTTAAGACGTATAATGTAATTATTTTGACTCGTTAAGACGTATACTGTAATTATTATGACTTGTCATGACGTATAGTGTAATTATTTTGACTTGTTAAGACATATAATATAATTATTTTGACTTGTTAAGACATATAATATAATTATTTTTAGTGCAGTTCTATTTTATTTTAATCACAGCAAGACATATAAATTATTATTTATTTAGAAGTGTGCAGATGTTGCAACATTCTCACTCCTTCAGTAGCTGTCTTGCCAGAAGTGTGCAGATGTTGCAACATTCTCACTCCTTCAGTAGCTGTCTTGCCAGAAGTGGTGCAGATGTTGCAACATCCTCACTCCTACAGTAGCTGTCTTGCCAGAAGTGTGCAGATGTTGCAACATTCTCACTCCTTCAGTAGCTGTCTTGCCAGAAGTGTGCAGATGTTGCAACATCCTCACTCCTTCAGTAGCTGTCTTGCCAGAAGTGTGCAGATGTTGCAACATTCTCACTCCTTCAGTAGCTGTCTTGCCAAAAGTGTGCAGATGTTGCAACATTCTCACTCCTTCAGTAGCTGTCTTGCCAGAAGTGTGCAGATGTTGCAACATTCTCACTCCTTCAGTAGCTGTCTTGCCAGAAGTGTGCACATGTTGCAACATCCTCACTCCTTCAGTAGCTGTCTTGCCAGAAGTGTGCACATGTTGCAACATCCTCACTCCTTCAGTAGCTGTCTTGCCAAAAGTGTGCAGATGTTGCAACATTCTCACTCCTTCAGTAGCTGTCTTGCCAGAAGTGTGCAGATGTTGCAACATCCTCACTCCTTCAGTAGCTGTCTTGCCAGAAGTGTGCAGATTTGCAACATTCTCACTCCTTCAGTAGCTGTCTTGCCAGAAGTTGCAGATTTGCAACATCTCACTCCTTCAGTAGCTGTCTTGCCAAAGTGTGCAATGTTGCAACATTCTCACATCCTTCAGTACTGCCCTTGCCAGAATTGCAGTTGTTGCAACTTTCCTCCTTCCTTCAGTAGCTGTCTTGCCAAAGTGTGCAGATGTTGCAACATTCTCACTCCTTCAGTACTGTCTTGCCAGAAGTGTGCAGATGTTGCAACATTCTCACTCCTTTAGTAGCTGTCTTGCCAGAAGTGTGCAGATGTTGCAACATTCTCACTCCTTCAGTAGCTGTCTTTGCCAGAATTGTGCAATTTTTGCAACTTTCCCTCACTCCTTCATTAGCGTCTTGCCAAAAAGTGTGCAGATGTTGCAACATTCTCACTCCTCCAGTAGCTGTCTTGCCAAAGTGTGCAGATGTTGCAACTTTCCTCACTCCTTCAGAAGCTGCCCTTGCCAAAGTGTGCAGATTTTGGGCAACTTTCTCACTCCTTCAGTAGCGCCCTTCCCAGAAGTGTGCAGATGTTGCAACTTTCTCACTCCTTCAGTACTGTCTTCCCCCCAGAAAGTGTGCAGATTTGCAACATTCTCACTCCTTCAGTAGCTGTCTTGCCAGAAGTGTGCAGATGTTGCAACATCCTCACTCCTTCAGTAGCTGTCTTGCCAGAAGTGTGCAGATGTTGCAACATCCTCACTCCTTCAGTAGCTTCTGCAAAGAGTGCAAATGTTGCAACATTCTCACTCCTTCATAGCTGTCTTGCCAGAAGTGTCAATGTTGCAACATTCTCACTCCTTTCAGTAGCGTCTTGCCAGAAGGTGCAGATGTTCAACTTTCCTCACTCCTTCAGTAGCTGTCTTGCCAGAAGTGTGCAGATGTTGCAACATTCTCACTCCTTCAGTAGCTGTCTTGCCAGAAGTGTGCAGATGTTGCAACATTCTCACTCCTTCAGTAGCTGCTTCCAGAAGTGTGCAATGTTGCAACATTCTCACTCCTTCAGTACTTTTTGCCAGAAGTGTGCAGATGTTGCAACATTCCTCACTCCTTCAGTAGCTGTCTTGCCAAATGGGGCAGATGTTGCAACATTCTCACTCCTTCAGTAGCTGTCTTGCCAGAAGTGTGCAGATGTTGCAACATTCTAACTCTTCAGTAGCTGTCTTGCCAGAAGTGTGCAGATGTTGCAACATTCTCACTCCTTCATAGCTGTCTTGCCAGAAGTGTGCAGATGTTGCAACATTCTCACTTGTTCAGTAGCTGTCTTGCCAGAAGTGTGCAGATGTTGCAACATTCTCACTCCTTCAGTAGCTGTCTTGCCAGAAGTGTGCAGATGTTGCAACATTCTCACTCCTTCAGTAGCTGTCTTGCCAGAAGTGTCAGATGTTGCAACATTCTCACTCCTTCAGTAGCTGTCTTGCCAGAAGTGTGCAGATGTTGCAACATTCTCACTCCTTCAGTAGCTGTCTTGCCAGAAGTGTGCAGATGTTGCAACATTCTCACTCCTTCAGTAGCTGTCTTGCCAGAAGTGTGCAGATGTTGCAACATCCTCACTCCTTCAGTAGCTGTCTTGCCAGAAGTGTGCAGATGTTGCAACATTCCCTCACTCCTTCAGTAGCTGTCTTGCCAGAAGTGTGCAGATGTTGCAACTTTCCTCACTCTTCAGTAGCTGTCCTTGCCAGAAGTGTGCAGATGTTGCAACATTCTCACTCCTTCAGTAGCTGTCTTGCCAGAAGTGTGCAGATGTTGCAACATTCTCACTCCTTCAGTAGCTGTCTTGCCAGAAGTGTGCAGATGTTGCAACATCCTCACTCGTTCAGTAGCTGTCTTGCCAGAAGTGTGCAGATGATGCAACATCCTCACTCCTCCAGTAGCTGTCTTGCCAAAAAGGGGTGACAGATGTTGCAACATCCTCACTCGTTCAGTTGCTGTATTGCCAGAAGTGTGCAGATGTTGCAACATCCTCACTCGTTCAGTAGCTGTATTGCCAGAAGTGTGCAGATGTTGCAACATCCTCACTCGTTCAGTAGCGTATTGCCAGAAGTGTCAGATGTTGCACATCCTCCACTCCTCCAGTAGCTGTCTTGCCAGAAGTTGTGCAGATGTTGCAACATCCTCATCCTTCAGTAGCTGTCTTGCCGAAGTGTGAAAGATGCTGCAACATCCTCACTCCTTCATAGCTGTCTTGCGAGAAGGTGAGAATTTGCAACATCCTCACTCCTTCAGTTGCTGTCTTGCCAGAAGTGTGCAAAATGCTGCACATCCTCACTCCTTCAGTAGCTGTCTTTCACAAATTTGCAAGTTGCAACATCCTCACTCTTTCAGTAGCTGCCTTCCAGAATTATGCAGATTTTGCAACAATCCTCATCCTCAGTACTGTCATGCCAAAAAGTGTGCAGATGTTGCAACATCCCTCACTCTTTCTCAGTACGCCTTGCAGAATTTGTGCAGATGCTGCAACATCCTCTCTCCTTCAGTAGCTTCTTGCCAGAAGTGTCAGATGTTGAAACCCATTTCTCACTCCTCAGTAGCTGTCCTCCCAGAATATGCAGATGTTGCAACTTTCCTCACTCCTTCATAGCTGTCTTGGCAAGTCGTTCAGATATTGCAACATCCTCCACCATCAGGTTGTAAGCACTGTGTTATCTTTCTCTAGGACTCATGTCAGGATAATTTGGT